ATGATTCGACTAATTTTGTTTGCGGAATCTTTAAACCTCTCTCCTGAAAAGTTATAATTTTGCAAATGTGACCTTATTGCATCAATGATGCGGATTGTATATTGCATTTTAGTCAGTAGGTCGAGGTAAAATCTCCCTACTTATATGCAAATAGTATATAATATACTATAAATAAGTAGGGAGATTTTAACAAACGCTGCCATCACACTTCAGATTGTAATCATGGTCATGCAATGCGAAATACTAATTTTAAAAGCGCGGAAAAAATATTTGATGCCCCATACAAAATGTGAGCGGTCCATTACTAATTTATATGGTAAAAACCATAGAGAAACAACACAATAATAACATTGACCTACCAATAGTAATGTTTGTTTAAATAGTGGACCGACGGCAGCGTAGAGCTTCACAAGTCAGCGAATACAATTCGGCACAATAATCCAAGATGACCGCACCGGAACCAACCTTTTCGAATGGTTTCCATTGCCTTCAGTTTTCCAGCCAATCGTGCTGTGTGGTGTGGTAAAAAATGGCGACTATCGTTTCCTAATATTATTGATTGCAACTTTACTGACACCCATCCGCCGCGCTATCTATAAATCTATCGAGACGCTGCATTGAAGTTGACAATGCCGTGACTGTGAGGCTGTGCTTGGAACTTGAGGGTCAGTGTCAGCTTTGCCTATGGTGTACGATGTGCCGCGTACACGGCACACGGGCGCAGGGTCCTAGAGGCCGCCGAGTGTCGCTCGCGATGCTTCCAAAGAGTAACAGGGGTACTGCTTTCGAATATCATTAAAAATTGCACCATTTGCACCCTAGTTTCCGATCACTGGGGAAAATATATCTGTAAGCATTCCGCTTTGGTCGCATCCCTACTAAAGGGCGCCAAGGTATTGTTTGCATCTGGGTGCTACATGGGTTACACTGGCACTGTAGAGGGTCTTGCACTAACGAAAACTGCCAGTTAGTTTATTTTAGTGAGCGCCGTCTCGTTCGTGCGAAAAATATGGTACCGCGCACACTAAAGGTCTCCCAACAGAATTAGACATTTATTACAGCATTGTGCGGCAGACGGACAAGGAAGCGAAACAAAAGCCGGACGCGGTTATTAATTAACCCGATAATGAATACGGCCCATTAATTGCTGTATTGGTGTAGACTATAGTCCTTCACGGTTATCTATACCCACCGAAAGATTTAGTTTTTTAAGATTAGGATGTTTTTGCATTTCGTATAATTTCAAAGCCACCTTCTATAGTATATCTTTCTGATTTTGAAGAAAACTTGTGATTTAGAAATCTGTGAAATGTTATTCTTCATTTTTTATTTATCAGTTATTCATTGCTTAATTTCCGTGGACATTATTTTTTATTTTTTGTCGTCGAATCTCAAAACCGTTCAAAATTTGAACCGTAATTCGAAAAACAAATTTAAAAATAAAAACTTGCAAGCAGGTAGTTATTAAGTACAAAAATATTTCATTAAAGTCTTCCCTATTAATGGAAAATATTAATTTAAGAGTTAAACTACTTTTTATAAAATAATCTACATTCATCATAATACTACACCATCATATTTGATGATAAATGATGTATTGTTTGTAGTAAAGACCATTATAATTATTATGTTATTTGTTGTGTTTGTTTATGAGATATTTATTTTATTGCAGCATATCATGATTTTTTTACTACCATACTTACAAGAAATAATATTCCTTCGGCCTGAATGGATTGGAACCAGCATCTGTTGCCACACCAGAGCTACCGCTCTTACCAACTGAGGTACAGAGAGTCAGTAGGTCTTACAAATTTCTCTATGTGACGCAATTTATGACTACTATGAAAACCATCTAAACCATTCGTATCCTTAATGTGATCCTACGCCAAAAGCGCTTTTATCACATGAAAGTCTGAAAATATCACGAAGAAATAAAACAAATTACGCATTTATGTGAAATTTTATAACTCTTATATTAAAGGACAAAAAAGTTATCGACTAATTTGGTTCGTGGCACCTTCAAATTTCTCGTTTAATTGTCGTTTTGCAGATGTGACTTTATTACACCGAGGGTTCGCATTCTTCGATTCGAGAGCCCTACGTAATCACGTAGGTGATTTTGTATAGAAAATTTTAAATATGCACGCCAACACATCAAGCTACACATTGACGTATCTTGTTCCGTTGCACTGCAGGCGATTTTCGAACAAAAATGTATAGTCTGATGTGCCGTTGTCCGTACAATACAAGTAATAGAGCTATATTAAATTAATGAAATTGAATCCTATAGTTAGTTCATAGTTTAGCATTGTTTAGTTTTATTTATTATTTTTATTAATTTATTGATTTTATCATCATCAATTCATCAGCAATTGTTACATCGATATATGTACATTTTCACATTGGTATGGGTGTTTAGTTTGCTTTAAATTGAGCAGAATAGTCTTAATATTACAGTGTGTATAAAGAGAAAAAAACAAACTGAATATAACAATAAAAATTATAATTAGTATGTAATAAACAACTATTTTATAATATATATATATATATATATATATATATATATATATATATATATATACTATTTATATTTATTATATATTAATAGTACAAAAAATACTGCTACTTTACTTGCAAAGGATTGCCTTGCGGAGACCGGTTATCGAGTCCGAGAAAATATCTACTGTTGCACTATACTCATTGTGTAGTTTTCTACAAAATATATTTCGGTGAGTGTGCTCATGAGTTCAATCAGCTCATCCCGCCCGGCCTCTTTTACCATCGGATGTCCAGATGCACGACAAAATATCTTAATTGGTGGAATTTCCTTCAGAGGTACTAAGCGCTTTTCATTAATGGAATTTCCTACCTGCGACTGTGTTTTCGAGCACATTGTATAACTGGGTACACAAAATACAGTGAACATTCCAACTTTATATACTAATACATCAGGCAAGGTGGCCAACATTTCACCCATTTTTGAATAGGACAGCCACTCATAAATTTATTGAAGCACTAGATAGAAAATCAGCTCATTAAGCCTCAAAGAAGGATTTCAGTTAGCGGCAATGTACCATTGGTGTTGGTGTTATATTAAAGCTGACGAATATAATTTTTTTTTACTCTTTATTTATTTAGGAACTTTGATCGTTACTGAACATGTCAGCCCCATTAGAAAAACAATACCTCAAGAAAACACTTAATAAAATCCAGACAGATAAATCAAAATACTACCTAACTGATGTATACAAAATCTCCGCAGCGCTACATGTTGGCTAAGACAAAACAGATTGAAACCACCCAACATTAAATAACCGGAAACCAGCCTGTGCAAATAACCTCGCCCTGATAGGCTCCGTCCGAACACACTCCATGAGCGAATGATGTACATCCTCAGGAATCCCACACACTTCGCAATTCGGTGAGTTCACCCTCCGCAGTAAATACAAAAATTTGTTTAATGGAACGGGTCCGGATCGAAACCTATGCGCGCTGACGATTTCACCCCTGCTTAACTTAACATGATCTAACCAAGGGTCACGAGGAGGCTCACTCTGCATTGTTTTATACCAGACTCCTTTTTTCTGGGACCTCACATCGAAATATTCCTTCCTACGAGAATGGAATTTGCTCTTATAGTTTGCAATCACTTCAGAGAAGTCAGGCACAATGTCAACTGTAATATTATTTTCACAAAAAAATGAACTTTGTTTACCTATCTTTTGGAAAATTTGACGAATTATTAACCTATTTAAACTTTACAAATTAATAAATAGTTAGTTTCTAAACAATCCGAATCCTTAGTTTATTAAAAACAGGCAAGCACCTATAATTTGCGGGATCAGTTCCTGGTAGAGACGGAACACAGGATGTGGTGGCCCTCGCCTCTGAGGTGGCAGCCATCTCCACACGACGTTCGCGCACACTCATAGCTATACTAAAAAGATAAGGTAACACTATTGGAGTTTGAGACGGCAAATTGATATAACTTAGAGAAACTCGTCTTAGCCGAACATTACAAACTTTAAGAATATAAATTACAATTATTATATGAGTTACGAACGACTAAACCAATTATATAATTCACTATATTACCTACTGTACATGCTGTAGGCCCAAAGGAGAGGAATTAAATTATTATTTTGCGAAGTAATTCTTCTAGATAAAAAGTCGTACTCCTGTCGTAGAACAGCTCCATATCTTCTACTAAGTTTTGATTACAGTGTCCTCTTTACCGAACCTTTTGATTATACGGGAAGGACACTATTACCTTACCAGTCAGGTCCTGACCACAGATCAGCCCGTTGACATAGACTTCATCCAGTTCTGAAAAGGCTAGTGCCTTTGGTGAGCACCCGAGGGTACATGTTGGTACAGAACCCTATTGTCCAGATTAGTACCGGAGCTGTTGGCTTGCTCACCTGCTGTTGTGGATCTACCTATCGTGGAACAATATTTATGTATTATCTTGACCAAGAAAACGGTGAACGTTGCAATTGCTACAAATTAAAATTTCTAGTGTATCGCATTGTAGACCTATATGTTGTTTTAGTAGCAGTAGATATCCCTGTGAAAGAGTTGAGTTCGTCCAGGGAAGTACTGCCACCTTACCTATTTCTGCCGCCAAGGAGTAATGTCAGAATTACTGTGTCTCGGTTTTGAAGGGTATTTAAAGAAGTGAGTGGCACTGCAACTGTTATGGACAGGCCTGTAGCTTACCATCAGGTGCACAACTTGTTCTTCCTGTCACTTGGTATCATAAAAAAAGTTTTCAAGTAATGACTGTATTGTTTTGAAACGCGATACGTATATCTTTCAATGGAACACAAACCTCTCGTTAATAACAATGACGTCCGGTCGTTTTCACGCGCTATGCCTTTGCCGTACACTCAATTTTAGCGCCATATATAAGAGAGCCTTTGTTTTTTACCTTTGCAGTCAAAGGCGAAACACGAAGGGGCACAGGTCAACCGAAATGAATTTCTGAATTTGGTGGCTCCTTCCGACTTCGGTGGCGGAATTTTCTTAGTTCCCTGGCTAATATTGTGGTACAATGTTGTTAGTGCTAGTGTTGTGGTTGTGTGCCATGGGAAGAACTCAGGTGATCCCTGGAAAGTCCAGGACAAATGATGGGGACTATAATACAGTGAACACAGATGGATCTTTTGATTTTGGGTTTGTAATTTTTACGATATTTTTTGCTTCATATTAGAAAATAAAGAATATTAAAAATTTATACAATATTAAGTACCTATTTTTACAAAGTAGCTAACTACATTTACTATACCAAGTCATATACACTGAGCATTAATTTATAAGGTCACGGTCTTTGGGAGTATGTAGACGAACCTGCATACCTTTCTTACCGTCAACCCATATAGCAATATGATACCTTTCCGACGTGTAAATATCCACCTAGTTGATTATGAATAAAATGCAATTGCATGGTTGCAGTTGTAGAAAACATTTTTTCAAATTTGTTAACTCAAAACATTTATAGTCTCAAAAAAATTATCTAAAAACGTCACCACAGCCCTCAAAGGAGAATATACGTCCCGAAATTACAATAGCATTGTTTTTGTTTATTAAAAATAATGATGCTTTAATATTCAATTTTCATGACATATTTATTGGCAGGCGGCCGTACATAGGGTCTATTAGATTTTGGAAAGTTGACTACAAGTACATAAAATAAAATCATTGACAATTAAAAACAATAGGAAAAACGGCAAGAACTTTTTTTAGCTCGAGAGATAGATTAGTACTTTGTAAACCAGTAAGCAAGTTTATTTTAAAAAAGCTCAAACTTGTTTTTACTGAATTAAGTCTTAATGTGCATTTAAAGTCAACATTATTTAAAGCTTATGGTTATCCCATTGTTAAATACCATTTGTTTTTATATCTTTCATTAATTAAGATACCATGATAGCTTTGGGTAAATACATATACAAATACACTAACTAGATACTGTAGTATTTTTTTCCTTCACATTTAACTTCGTTCATTGTTTTGTTCGTAAAAAATATAATTATGGAAAATCATTGTTCTTATCTTGTTAACAAGCCTAACAATTTTGTCATGAGACATGGCCAGTTAAGCTTTTCATATTTATTATTATGTAATGTACATATCCATTCCTACAGTCACCAAAATATTTTTTAAAGAAGTACCCGTTGTTACATGTATGTTACACACGTGATGATATAGGTGTATTATGTTTTAAAAACATTAATTGTGATTGTCAAAATTGTTTTAAACATGAGTTCTGAAACGTAGTCGTAACTATATCGATACTTTAAATCATATTAAGTGTAAAGAGAGTATTTTGCCTTCCGTAGATGATAGTTTTTATGTATACGTACATAATACATAAAGACTATAACATATCCAAATTTATTATACTTCAATGAATACTTACAATTAGTGCCAAAAAGGACCCTTGAAAGTTAATGTATTATTATATACATGATGATATTTATTCAGATACGCAAACAAGGATCGAGGGCAGAGTTATCACCTGGCACACGGCAACGCCAACGGCGTGGTCGGTGGCCGATTTGGTGCCAAAGATCCAGCCACCGATACCATCAAAGAAACAGTCTACACCGCTGGCCCCAGAGGGTAAGTTCACAGAACTTGATGAACATTTAAACATTTCCAACTATTTTAACTATTTATTATTTACTATTACTTAGAATTTAACTATTTTCGTCAATTCCGTATGCATGTATAATCTCATTTGTAATAAAAGTATAATAGTTATTATTAATAGTTTACGTAAAGAAATACTTACTGCCGCACTTACTTTTTCCCTTCACTACCTCGGAAAGGCGTTCTTTGTCATTAGAAATCTGCGCGCAAAACGCTTTTTGCACGCTAGCGTGGAAAAGATTTTTGAAATTCGAACCTGACGATAGACAGTGGTGCACCCACCGATTTATAAGTCCGTGGGTGCAGCTAACTTTTTCGTTCGATGAATAAAAAAGGTAATGACACGTTCAACTACGCGATTTTGTCGTACATTATTTATGTAATTTAGATCCGTTGGTATATTTTATTCTTATTATGGTTGATATTAAATTAACCACGATTAGTAATTTTGTTTACTAAATTATTTTAATTCGTCGAAGAACTAAAATAACCACATAAAATTATAACACAAATAACACAAAAAAATTAAAATAAATAAGTCCTTCGCTTGCTCAAGTTTCAATACAAGCACTCGCGCCAAACAACTTTGCAGCCTACCTAAGCTGAATTTCGAAAATCGTTGGTTAAGCAGCATCAAAATGATTAAATTTGTACATTTTACATTTCCTTTTAGTTTCCGAGCTAAAGGCCCAAACGTTCACCGAAAGATGGATCTGGATCAGCGTCCGCGTGGACCAATCGGCAACAAAGACGATCCCTATTTCGACCCTAACGAAGATCCCAGCTATTCATACAAGTTCGATACTAGGACTTACTCCAAGAACGAAAATGCCGACAGTAGGGGTGATGTTAAAGGTTATTGGAAGGTCTTTAAATATAATTACAACTATAAGGAAAAAATTATATTTACAAGTTATGAAGCTATGTTTATTATCAAATTTCAGAAATAATGAAGTTGTAAACACTATCGATTGATCACAAATTATGCATGCTTTTAGTCATAAGGCCTTGGCTACTGATCTGCTTATATACATTTAAATGCACTTATTAATTTTCAGATCCGATCTTGTGTAAAATATTATTTATCTTGATATATTTTCACATTTCTTTCTGCAGGTCATTACTCCTTTGTGGACGACATTGGTGAGCGCCACGATGTCTCGTACATAGCTGGTCGGGACACTGGCTTCCATGTGCAGTCAGCCCACCCAGATAGTCCTAATGTTATTGGATCACCCTTCCACCGTGCTCCGCTCGTAAGAGGCGAAGCCAGACCAAGAGGAAGAACTGCTGTACAAAGAGGTCTTGACGGATCTTATAGGTAGCCCTAAACAATCAGTCTTTGATGAGAGACTATCCTCATTTTTTATTATCCGACATTAAAATGCAATTTCAAAACTGTGACGGCGATTATTTCAGATTTATATCAGCGGGCCCGGACCAGAGAAGAACAGAAAGCAGCGACTCCCATGGTAACGTTAGAGGGTCTTATACATTCTTGGACGATAAAGGAGTGCAAAGGTAATCGAAAAAGCTCTTGCAAATACATAAACAGGTTAAACATAATCGTTCTCTTGTTCTCTATATCTCATCAACTGCATCATTTTCTGGGCCAATCTCGTAATGTACTTTTGTGGGAATATTCCAGAACAGTTCACTACATAGCTGGACCAGGCATTGGGTACCGCATCGTGAAAAGCGGCAAGGATCCATACATACCAGCCTACTTTCCCACCATCCCTAGCATGTATGACCCTGACTTCGTTAGCGCTGGATCCATAGCCTTCTCGCCCGATGACAGCGGATCGGATGACATTTTTAAGAGTACGTCGGTTTAATAAAATTAGGATAAATCGCATGTCCCGAAGTAGAAAGTTAGCCTAATATAAAATCCTATTTCAGGACCAGAAGGTACAGCAGCGTCAGGCCACGTTAAACCGCCGCCCTTCCCCGACAAAGACAGACCTGGAAAGAAACCTATACCATCTTCCAGTAATAGCGCTGAAGATGATTCAAATGAAAGTGGTTTTAACTCGGGCTCCAGTTTCCCAGGTTCTGGATCTGGCGGTACCAATTATAAGCCCGGTTCCGGATCTGGAGGTTCCAGTTATGGTTCTAGTTCAGAATCTGGAGGCTCCAATTATGGGTCTGGTTCAGGTCCGGGTTCTGGAGGTGACAGTTATGGGTCTGGTTTAGGATCAGGTAGAGGTGGTTCAAACTACAAGACAGGATCAGGAAGCGAAAACTCCAACTTTGGTTCTGAAGGATCAAACTATGGAGGATCTGAATCTGGGGTTTCAAACTTTAAGCCCGGTTCGGGTGGTACCAGTTTTGGTTCCCGAACAGGATCAGGTTCTGGTGGTCCAAACTATGGCTCGGGATCCAGTTCCAGTCTTGGATCAGGACCCAGTGGTACTGGTTTTGGATCGACAGGTGGCGATGGTTCAAGCTATATAGATGAAGACGGATCAAGTTTGGGCGCCAAACCAACGAAAGTTCCAGGTGATAATGAGTAGTATGAACTGGCATTGTGGTTGAAGTTCGTGATCTTTGTTTAATGTCGCTATTCAAGAGCATAACTCGATTTTGTATCGTTCCAAATGTACATAGTTATCTAGATATTATATTAAGGACGAAGGAGAGTAATTCCTTTTTATTTTACAAAGATATTAAATATGACTTTCTTGCAGGAAAACCAAAATCACGAGCTTCAAATCCCTCACATAACGGTTGAAGATTGCACTAGAATTAACTCTTATTTATACAAACATTGCTTGATTGCAATAAACAATATTCACCTACCAAACTGGTTTTTATTACACCAACACCTTGCGGCACATAGCACAAGCACAGCATTTGTCCAGCAAATTTAGAGAACCTTAAACATTGCAGGCAAGCCAGGCCGACGTCCGACCAGCAAGCCTAACAGGCCAACGAAGAAACCATACGTGCCTTTAAAACCATTCCAGACAACGAACATTAAAGAGGACGAATACGATGCCGACAATGACGATAGAAACACACCACAGTTCGGTGTAGGGTTCAATATAAATAAAAAACTTGGTGCCACCACAATTTACAAACCCGGTACAACTATTATCAGAAACATAGGGCAAGATTACTTCGGTGTGCCACCAGGTGTTTCAGTCAGAGCCCATGTACAAAGCATTGATTTATATCCTTACGACTCCAAACCTCTGTCCCCTTCTGAAGCCATAGAAAAAGATAAAACATAATTTTCTTAAATTTTGTACAAATACAGGTTCTCATACTTACACAAAACTGTTATTAACATAGCTTTATACTGTAACATAGTTAAACTAACTTATTTAAATAAACATGTAAGTCACTATCGTTTAGTGTTTGATTTTAATAGCAATAAAAATAAATTAAACACGGTCTGTGGTAATTTTTTGAAAAATTTATTCGAACAATACGACTGTTAACAAAATGCAAAATATAGTAACTGTTAAGGAGTCAGGTCAGGGTGTTTTAGAGTGCTTGTGACGTCATTCCATATCTCGCTCCCAAAAATCACTCCAATAACAACCATAATAGTAATTAAATATAGAAAAGGGTGTAACAAAGTTAGGTAACAAGAAAAGTTAATTGGAAGGGTAAATTTGGCAAAGTTGAAAGGCTGACAACTTAGCAGAGAATACCAGACATACAGGCTATTCTTCAATACGAGCCTTCGATGGTAAGTATTGGTAAGTAGTCTTTATATTATCATTATCATCAGATGAAATTAGGCAATAGACCGTTCATATATCAATATTCTTTATTAAGTTGTCAAACCACATTAACAATAGTATGTAGACATATTATTATTATTCTAAATTGAAATTTTTTATTTAAGAATCTAACTACTTGATGGTGAGATTGTCATTTTGTAGATATTCGAGATATAAACATTTGGATACAAAACTCTAGGATCTTAGAAGGAACATTTCATATCCGGTATCTCAACCTAAAAGATCGCGATATACAAAACATAGGTTGAAAATCTGAAAAACTTACGCATATTCTTTCGTATCAAACATTTAACGCCACTACAATTTCGGAAAATTTAAAATTACTATTTGATTCTACAAATAACAAATATGTTACTTAGAATTAAATTTATTTGTAATAAAACTATAATGAAAAACCTATACACTATTGTAAACTTCTAAAAATAACTAAACTGCATTTGAAATAACTTATACTAAAAATCACACGTTTGGAATTGAACAGTTGAAACGTTTGATTGTACAATAAATAAATTCTAATGTAACATCAACTGAAGCTTAGCTCCACCTTATACTTTACATTTTAAATATATAAAAATCTGTATATTTTCATACATTAGAAAGTCATTAGATAGATTCCTAAAAGGCAAATTAGCAAATCACAAGAGAAAGCTTACTTGATCGAAGATTTTATGTGCCCTCTTACAACTAGGTTAAAAATATATACACAGTTTTAGACCGTTTATGAAGGCCCGAAAAGCGAAAGAGCATTTTCTTGGTGTTTGACAACTTTAGGGTGAGTATATCCACGATTCGATTTTAAAAGTAAACGCGTGGGTGGCGTGCAATTCAACACTGTTTATTAAATTTATGAATGATAAACTTGAAATACTCGGCCATACCTGCACGAGTTCAAAATAAATAATTTTATTAAATAAAAACATCTGCAAGTTCCCAAAGTGACAAATGATGCAAGCACACCACAGCAGCTCGGACAAAAGTCGTTGAATTTAAAAGATGTTTATATTCAACGTCTCAAAGGTTTAGTTTCTTTATGATAATTGGTGATTATATGAAGAGATGAAAAATATCTTTTCTATGATACAGATTATGAAATCGTTTGAATAATTCAAATGTTCCAAAACAATCCAGTATGCTTCCAAGGTTATAAAAATTCCTTAAAAATGTAAGAAACAGTGATTTGTACGGTCAATACAACGCACAGCTTTCACTGCAGTTCAAATTTATTTCTATGCCATTTACGATAAGAACGGCCCATAGTTTAAACTGAGTACGCTGTCGGCAGTGATTAATGTTTAAAAATGTTGTTAATATCTTTTAGATTCTAATTATATTCAGAACCGCGGTTTTAAACCGCTTGTGTTTACACTTTCGCACATCTTAAATGTCATATGCGAGAGAAAAAAAAAGCAACTTGAGCAGCCGCGCCGCTACCACCGAATCTCTGAATAATAAAACACCGAACTTTCAAACCAAATTAATATCAATTTTTTTGTATTACAAAAACGAGTCTCTCCTAGCCGAAATTGAAAATAAACGTGACCACAAAATCTGTATCAAAGAAAGCACTAATTTTTACAATGACCAGATCATCTTATTATGTAATTTTTAACATGGACTGACAATGTTTTGCACATTAATTTCACAGCCATTATTTTACCTACGGCGTCGTGTCATTTACTTTACATATAACATAGGTAAGTAATAGGAAATGAAACTATTTTTCCGGATTTAAATCGCGTATATTTGTTTTTTCAAACAAACCGACGTTTCGGGCCTTTTACAGGTCCGTGACCAAGGGACCGTGTAAAGGGCCCGAAACGTCGGTTTGTTTGAAAAAACAAATATACGCGATTTAAATCCGGAAAAATAGTTTCATTTCCTATGTGTAACAATCGCGAAAACCTAAGAACTCGATATAGGTAAGTAATGTAAAATATTTAGGCTAACGCCTAAATATTTTGCATAGGCCTTTTTTAAATAAAATTAAGGCAACGTTTATTTCATATTCATATAAGAGGTTAAAGTATAGCGGACCACATAATCGAAATTGCCACTTAGTCCAAATTTAATATTTCTGCACTCATTGATCGATGGCTCATTATTGGGATATTTTCTACCAAGGTTCGATAATTATCTTAATATATCTTTATCTTGATATTTATAAAATTAATTGGAACATTGAAATGCTACCGTTAGCATAGTCTTGCATGTATTTGTGTAGGAGACGTAACCAAACGTGTGAAATGTTAGTCTCAAATAAAAAGTCACAAACCAAATCATTTTCCCAAATATTTATTTTCGTTTATTTAGTTTTCCCATTGTCTTCCTTTTTTAGTCAAAAATTAAAAAAACAAAACAAAGAATGAGCGTAGATAATACATTCAAAGATAATAAATATCTTGATAATTTTGAACCTCGTTTTCTACCTTTTATTCCTCGACTCCTCCTTAAGCCATTGCAAAGAACACAGTATAAATATATACGGCTCAATTCCGAACAGTTTAGAATCCTAACAGTTTGCAGCAAGGACCGTGGCCCACGAACCCCTAGTGTATTAGTAAAGAAAATACATGTTACAAAAAAAAATCCATTAATAAATGAACACAATTTTAATTAAACTCAACAGCAAAATTCCTTTTTAAATAAACCAAAACAAAAATTCAACTCAACACGAAGATCACCAAAAAAATTGAAGTGGTTTTCAATTAATATTATGAAATCAAAAGAAATCCCGTGTAACGTACAAGCACCAACTCTTAAATTCTATTTTTGTGCAATTTTTATAATAGATGACTAATTTTTTACTTGTGCTATTGTTGAATTTGAACTTTCTTATTTTATTAATTAAATAGCTGAAACAACAACGACTATATTCCAGGTATGTACGTAATGTATCAAAAGCTAAATTCATTAGACAGGTTCATAGGAGAAAGAGACTAGATACTTTAATTATTACTAGCTACTTAAATATTAGAAAAGCTGAAATCTTCCGAGGTGTATTGGAATAGCTGAATGCATATTCTAGATTACCATTTTATGACATCCATCCTTATAGACAATGCAAACAGTTATGCGTATAGTGTGACAAGTTAATAAAGAACTTTTTATTTATAGAGCGAGTAGGGATAATTCGGATGTCCGGTAAGCTTGCTCAGCCGATTTTCGTTCCTAAAATTTTGTTGTTAGATAAATATTGAAAGCCAGACAAAAAAAGGGTGATACTTGAATTTGTTGCTAAGTTTGGACCATAGAATGACCTAATCGTAAGTTCTTTATTAACTTGTCAATAGCACTTAACAAAATGTAGAGTTTCCGCAAGATATTGGCACAGATCTTTAAAATATTGCAACTTCAAACGATACTTGGTAACTACGAAGTCTTCGACGTCATTTTCAATGGTTCAGTAAATTACATAAGTATTAGTTAATATATTAATCTTATACCTATAGGAAACTATATTTTCTGAGCGTAGTGTTAAGTTAATAAATTTAAAAACATAAGGCCTAATTGCATCACTTTTCTAGTACTACTACATAATTCTAATTCGTATAGATTCTGTAGTGCAGAATCTCTAGCAAAGTAGAAAGCACTACAGTTTGTTCCTTTACAACTTTTTTAATAAAATAATGCATGTGATATCTCATAATGTACTAGATACTGGGTTTGGGCACACAATTAGGCCTGATTCTTCATAGCATTATACAACCAAATGAATATTGTGTACGATAGAGGATGAATTTGTTTAATTTGAAGCGATCGAAATGTTAAAAGTTCTTGTAGTAATCTTTTTATCCAATTGATATGTTCGAAATAGGCTTAACAGAGTATGACATGTCTCTTTAGATGTGCCGATGAAGGACTATGGCCGCATGTGATTCTTCTCCAGAAATGCGTCGTATATGGTTGGTTCTATACAATACCTACATAACCGTAGTTTTAAAGTTACATAAGATTCTAATAATAGACTTCACAAATACATGCACACTTCACAAATGACATTTGCAGTCGATGTTTAGGTGAAAAAAGTTTACACTTTTACACAGTAGTAAATGCATAATGCTATAAAGAGATAATAACTAATAAGTTAAACAATTTTTCTAAGAAAAAAAATGATTGCACTAAAATTTTAAGACCGTTTCGTTTCCAGGTTTTACCACTTAGTTTTTAAATTTACAATAAAAAATCCCTACATTTTTCTACACACTGCTTTTAAATAGGTAAAAACAACGTACTTAATATGAAAATAAAATAGAATTCACCGTTACATTTTTACAAAGTAAATTTAATTTACACAGCACAATTAAAAGTCAACAAAAATAAAACCACGTTTTTCTTGTCAAATAAATTTTAGGAAGCAATGCTGGAGATAGTTATTGGCTGTACATAGGTTGTAATAAAAAATCAATAATTGCCTTTTTAGGACACAACAACTGAACAAAAATCTTTTGTGCAACTTTAAGGTCAATTCATCAACAAGCTAATTTTATATCTAAGACACAATTATCATTATTCTCTTATACAAACATTTCACTGCTACTTCGTTTTAAAAAAATGCATAACAATGTAGAATAAATGTCGTATGCACCGTAAGACACTACAACATGTTAAAAACACAAAAGGAGTCTATAAAAAACAATTTACTAAGATTTTAATTTCAAATAAAGTATATAGATTTTAAGACTTTCGTGGTTATTCACTAAATGATTATCACTAGTATCAGGTTTCTTACCACGGTATGACTTCTTTTTATTTTCCCGATATTTCTGAACGGGAAAATAAAAAGAAGTCATACCGTGGTAAGAAACCTGATACTAGTGATATTCAAATAAAGTACACTCACTAGATTTCAAGATCACTATCTATTAACTGCGGCATTATTAATCTTTTATTGAAAGGTTCTTCCCACGGTCCGTTATTTTGCAGATTTTCTCGCACAGCCGACGACTTCCGACAGCCACACACCAGTCTCACTCTTTCATATTAATAATGAACCAGATACATAGTAATAATCTATCATCGTGCACCGATCCCGCCCATTTTTCGCTGTACGTTGATATATGCACCGCTCCGGACGCGCCTGCGTTACCACTGACGAATATATGCTTTTAAAATATAAATTAAGCCCAGTTTAGAATTATTTGTTCGATCCTATAAAAGTGACGAAAGTAGTTATGTACGCTTAGGTAAACATCAACAAAAGTCCCGAAATCATGCCACAGCTGACGGTATATATGTAGGTTCCCCTTAGGTATGTGATTTATTTCATAAATAAATAAACGCTTGAAACATTCCTAAAATATTCATTTCCCTTTCTCAACTAAGTACCACAAAAATAAAAATCGAAAGAACAATCACTTATGTCCTTCTTCAATCCCGCTTATTTCTTTAATATCACGGGACTTCATAGCAAGACGATTGTAAAATATTTGTATAAGAGCATTTGTGTGTCGCTATGCGTCTACTTGCGACGCAAGTGAAACCAATATTACGTGATTTTTATCTTTTTGCTGGTCTCCTCAATAATGTTCTTTATTTTGGAAAGTGGTGAACGCTTGTCCTCTCCGACTTTCTCAACATAAGAGGAAGGTAGGTGGATTTGAAGTGGATCACGCAGCCGAGCTAAATCTTTTTCTAATTTGTTGATCTGAAATGTAACAAACATTAAAGCATTACAAGATTGTAAAATTCATTAATTATAACCGCTTAAAACAGAGAATTTCTCCTCTTCCCAGTATAGGTATCAGTGGCGAATAGTAGATAATTGAAAAAAATCTAGAAACTAGAAACTAGATAACAGAACAATTCAACAAAAATCGGTGTTTTACCAATTTACAAATTAAAGCCATAATATTGTCTTGACACGCCAACAGACGATTTAACCTATAAAAACAATGAAAATTAGAAACAATTAGTAAAGCTAGTTCCATAAAGAAAAACACCAGGGAGAACGATCAATTCGGTCGCCATTATTTTCAACAAAAACAAACAAAACAAACTAAAATATAATTATATTAAGTACAAATTAGTATTGAAATAACAAAGCAATTTACACACTTTCTATCGAGACGAGACCATGTACCTTTCTCGCTTTCACATGTATATTGCTAATTATTCTATCCCTTAATAACCCGTTTTGAATCAAGTTGACTTGTAATAAATATACGGTATGAAAACTAACAGAACACATTCGTTTTTTCGTAAGATTGAAAGGTATAGTAAGATAGTAAAGGAGCTTGCGTGTCTCGTCGGAAAAAGATATTCAGGCGCTAGGAGAATTTAGGAAAGTAGAGTAGATAAGTGTATACTGTTATGATTCGATTAATCAATTTCATAAGGTAAGTAGATGAGAATTGTGTTATATGGTCTCTTCGCCACAATACTTCGTCACATTAGGGAATACTGTTGTTGAAACAAATTATTTACTACAGCCACTGGTAGCTATAAAGGTACCTGGCTGAGTTAAGAAAATCTTTCATAGATTTCTCACAGACGGCGCTATGGCAAAAAGTCGTTAAAAAATAGAAAACAAACATCTGCAACAAGCACAGATAAATTCGCATGATCCGAATGGTAAAGGCGTTAGTTCAGGTCCAGCCGGCTCAAAGGGATTTTTCTTTGTGTTCGACCTTTGTATTACATAATTATAACAATCTAGTGGAGTAATTTCACAAAAATAATTGAATGTTATGGTATTAAAACATCGTGACATACAATAAAGTAAATATTATTGGCTTCAAGTCAAATCGTACCTGTTCTTTCAAATAATTGTACTGATTAATATCGAGGCCGATCTTCTTTGCCTTTTTGTGCAAAGTCAGTAGGTGCTGCCTGTCCTTCACATCCGGCAATATGTACTCCTGAAATGAAAAACTTCACGTTAGCTCCTAAACCTTTCCAAAAAAGTAGAAATTGTGCGTGTTGAATCACTCAAGGAAATAAGAGCAAACACCAAACTGTAATAATAATGATGTTGACAAACTTAATTAAAATTTTCGTAATTGAATTCGTGTTCTAAAGCTTTGCGGCGTAATAGATAGAAGGAATATTAGCAAATTATTCTCGACTAGAGAAAATTACACATTTTGAGAAACTAATATCAAATTATACGGTTTGGTACATAACTTTGTATAAAATATAATATATGTACATGTTATTAATAAAACACTCAAATCATAAGTTGTATGTACTGTGATAATACCTGTTTAGTAAGCACGAAGTATGCGTATGCAGCCATTGCTGTTCCATACGTAACGAAGTAGGTGACCGGCTCCATGATGTCCCATGAGTACTCCCACCACGTCAGTCGAGCTAATACGCCGAACTGTACGCCCATCAAGCCGAGACCGACCCATGTGAGTGCTGATGTACGTCTTGAAGTTTCTACTTCCAACGACTGGAATTTCTATGAAACAAACGTTATCATCATTACATATCGAAAATCGAAATCGACTGCTAATCTTAGGCTTCCACAAGGGCACGCCACTATCTTAAAGATTTTTTTTTATAATATCAAGTGACGGGACAAACAAGTCGTGCGCCTGATGGTAAGTTACACGCGCGTCCATAACATTTGCTAAGTCACACAGAGCTTTAAATCGCAAAGATCTGAGGGGCGCTGCCACTGCACCCCTCACCCTAAGACATGAGTTGATAGTCCTAGATTAGCCTGTATTTCACCCGCACCCTTACCCTTCAAAATTGGAACGCAGTTATGCTCACATTACTGCTCGGCGGCAGAACTACGTAAGGTAGCAAGTACTTCGTTAGACGATTTTCTACGCCTGTCGCGAATTATGTCGCGATTTATTATTAGTTTTGTAATATCAAGCATTAATAAATTTAGTCTGTTATGATACCTAAGAGTAGGGAAATAACAGGGCAGTACAGGCATCTCAAATGAAGGTGAGATATCAGGCGTCTGCTGGGAGAGCAGCGGTTGGTAGGCAATATAGTTGGTAAGTTTGCACAATGTTTATTACTAACTTAGATACAGTATTTGTTGACTAGACAGCCTAAAGATAGAGTATGACGAATCAGTAACAGAATAAGAATGAGACTGCCACTTGTACTAAAGGTATAAGGGGGCGTGAAGCGGTGGCAGAGGAAGGGCTGTAGGGTGTGTGTGGAGGCCATCATAGGAGTCAGAGGATCGATATGAGGTCAATTATAGTAGTCCTATGAGTAGAATGAAGTTAGAAGAAATGTAATGGGGAAAGATACTCTATTTAAAGGTTGTTGTGATAGAAAGAATGTCGCATATGTAATTTACATTATAATTGAACCTTAGGCGTGGCGACAACGCCAAAGACTCCAATAGATCTTCATAACCTTGTCGATCCACCTAATGGGAACCTTATGTTGCTCTAACTTTCTAACAATATGAATATGTTAATGATGTGTCTCTGTTGTGTGTGTGTGTGTGTGTGTCTTTGTGCGTGCGTGCGTGCGTGCGTGCGTGCGTGTGTGTGTGTCTGTGTCTGTGTCGGCGTCGGCGTCGGCGTCGGCGTCGGCGTCGGCGTCGGCGTCGGCGTCGGCGTCTGCGTCTGCGTCTGCGTCTGCGTCAACGTCTGCGTCTGCGTCTGCGTCTGCGTCTGCGTCTGCGTTTGCGTCTGCGTCTGCGCCTGTGTCTGTGCGCGCGTGCGCGTGTGCGTGTGTGTGTGTGTGTGTGTGTATGTCGATGTAGTAGCATTATTGTTTTCCTAAATAGATTTAATAATTGAACACAAAAGTTTACGAGCCAGCGATGACCTACGGCACCGAGACGTCGTCACTTACCAAGGGCCTCATAAAAAAACTCAAAGTCATTCAACGAGCTATGAAACGAGCAATGTTCGACATTACGCTACGTGATCGAATCAGAAATGAGAAGATCCGTAGAAGAAAGAAAGTCACCGATATAGCTCGACGGGTTAGCAAGTTGAAGTGGCAGTGGGCAGGGCACGTAGCTCGTAGAACGTCGGCCGTTGGGGCAGAAAGGTTCTCGAATAGAGATCACGAACCGGAAGGCGTTCATTCGTGGGACGTCTCCTTACTAGATGGACGGATGACCTGGTAAGGGCGGCGGGTAACCGACGGATGCACGTCGCGTCCGATCGGCCAGTCTGGAAATCTTTTGGGGAGGCCTATGTTATGCAGTGGACGTCTTCCGGCTAATAGGATGATGACGATGACGATGATGATGATTCAATAACTTACCTCTTCCAGTGGTGCTAACTCAGTGGACAGTTTTTCAAGTTGACCACGTAGTTCCCTTTCTTTCCTAATCTGATGCTCGCGGACGTTCAAGGCTTCGTATAATTGGTTGACCAAATTTCTAACATCGCTCAGTCGCGTTATCTCTTCGCTGCTCAGGCGTTCCTGAAAATTGACATCACTTTCACATTAATGGAATAGGCCGCTAATCGTCAATGACTTGAAATCAAAAGTATTTGATGCAATAATTGGTACACATGGCATGAATGATCTGCCGCGTTCTTTATTTCGATAGAGTATTTGCAACAAGAGCGTTTTAGACACACAGTTCGTCCGCTCCTGTTTGTAGACAAACTTCTACCTAGCATGATATTGACAAAATAATATAATAAGTACGAAGCTTTAGTTTTCGGAGAGGAGCTGCTGTATCTTTGTGATGTCCTATCAATAATAATAATAGGTTTTGTTTTTATGTGGTTTTCTTCCACTGGTGGTAATGTACAAAACCTTGAAGTCGAATAACTGATGTCCTACCTTTTTAAATATATTCCCACCTGTCAAGGTTCCGAAGTCAATGTCTAGGAGAGTTAGCCCGTAACTTGGGCGAGTCGTACATAATACATTAGGTTTCTGTTTCTCGCTCCTTTATATTATGTCTTGGTGGATATTTGAACACCTTTTGCAGTAAGAAACTTTAATGCTAAATTATGTTCAATTCGGTTACTGAAAGTGTAACTATAAAATAAATACATAAAGAGAGATACATTTTGAGTTTACGGTAGTTTGGAAATAAAACAATTTTGTCGTATATAAATCGCGTATTAGTTAGCGTAGCCGAGTTAGCGTTGAACATGGGACCTGTGAAGGGTCCAAAACGTTGGTTTGTTTAAAAAAACAAACATACATGGTTTAGATCCGAAAACAAGTTTCATTTCCAATTTGTACCCCTCGCGAAAACCTAAGAACTCGATATTTAGGACAGCTCGTAGAAAACAAATGCAACGTCAAAAATTTTAGTCACGAAGTGAAATTATGCGCTTTTCTGAATATATTTTAGAGACGTGACCTCCTTGCCGAACGCAAAGATCTTTTAGTATCTGTCCATGACAGCAAGTCTATCTTAAAGATTTATTTTATTAATTTGAATTACGTTTGTCTTTCCTATTTTGTTTTGACGTAGGTTAAAACAATACGTGATACAATTAACATCTAATTTAGTATTAACATACAACGATTATCAATAAATTAAATTTTAGCACCCAATCTAAAGACTTGTTATTATATTAAAACCGCCGTGGGAGTTAAGTATGTAACCAAATGCACGAAATCATTTTGTAAACAACTATGTATCTATTCATTTTATAAACATCTATATATCTTTACGGTTTCCTTTATCTTATAGCTTTTTAAGTATCCTACTGCTGAGCAAATCTTCACTATTGAGACTAGCTGTTTCCACTAGCGTGTGTACGCACTCTGAAGGTAGCTTGGTTTTTTTTTGTGAGTCTTCAATCGTGTACACTACGACGTTGTTTCTGATAGCTTAAGGTCTATGTTAGAGTGCATCATATCACATTTTAGTACTGATTCCTACGTAAATGAAAAGTATACACACATAAAGTATACAAAGTATAAGTAAGCGTTGACGCGAAGACTAGCGATGCGCGACTTTGAATGTTTTTAATACTAATCATTGGAAAGATTACTAGATTATTAGAGGACTAGATTATTAGACGAGTATCGTTGTCCTCTATGGATAAGTAATGAATGATCATCCAGATCATTCGTATACGATAATTAGTAAGTTACTAATTTGTCATTTAAATAACAGGATTAGTAATTAATAACGAGTCAAATATCGAAATCATTCGCAATCGCGCATCACTAATGAAAACGAAGTTTGAATTTGATTTTGCACGGGGACGTGCATCTTCGATCGCTTTCGCAGAGAGTATACCACTTTTTTTATATAAATCACTTCAGCCTCTACATCTTCTTGCTCTTATAGCTAACTGTAACTCCAAGTTCAAACTTTAATTCCAATAATGACATTCTTACTTACGCATTATTTTATCATAATGTGATCTATTTTGAATAGGATATAATAACGTTACTATAGTACGATCCACCAGTGTTACAAAACTTATTATAGTGCGGAACTTTGTATTTTTTTATAAAATTCCTCCGATTGTTAAACACTTGGGTTTTTTTATATTCATTGTCCAATAGATTACGCTAGTTTCTGTCTTGTCTGTCTAATAACTGTATTTAAAGTAGAATTCCCATTAAAAATGGCACTGTTTACCGAAATTAACTATGCTTGTATGTACAAACGATAGAAAATGTATTTACTGACAATTAGTATACAGTACCTAACCATGTATCAAATAAAGGAAGTAGTAATATGTACGAAATAAAATAAGTAGTAACCACAATTTTAATGCGTTGTAGGTACGGACAGATACGTCATAAGACCAGCTGAGCGACAAGCGCGGTCGACTCGCTCCACTCGCCGTGAATATGAATGAATATTTGATCCCGGTCTGCGATATTTTGCTAGAAAGTTTAATGCTTTCTCATCTAAATTAGGCACTATATCCATGTACATCAGTTTTAAAACAAGATAAATAGGTTATACATTTTTAAAAGAATCTCATGACTTTTTTATTTAGTACGGATTAAAACCGAAATCGCGTTTATAGTTTTCCGATATTTTAACATTAACTGAATAAAAAAATGCTTTTATTTTGTAACTAGAAGATCAACAGTGTGTCAAGCTTGACATTTTTAACATTTCAACTGTATACCGCTTAAGATAAGAACGGTCAAAAGTCTAAAGTGTCTCGTTTGATGTAGTTTTGACTCTACCCTGTACAACACTAACCACCGATTTTTACAACGCAATAAGTATGGGCGGACGTGTTACACGATCAAATTAGCGACTGACGCAATTAAGTGTAAATATTTAATCTCAATCTCCGAAAGTTTGATTTAAAAAAATCTAACGCAACCTCGTTTAAATTGGACATTACTATATTTCACATTTATGAAGAAAGGCAATTGTGTTGGCAACTTTAAAAAAATGTTAAATTAACACAAATACTGTCTTGTTTTTCTCTTTTTCACTATTTTGACATGTAGTTACAGTTTACAATTATTATCATTAAAACTGACCCAAAAATCTATCACCGCCATTGACCTACTAACAAATGGACGATGGGTCTAATACAAAAACCACGACAAAAATGTCCAAAGTTAACCTACATAAACGTGGTAACATGTAGAGGAATATAAAATAAATGTATTAGTAGGTAAATGATCATCGCGTTTCAATTACTGACTGACTCGTTAATCCACATGTGCACGCGCAATCGATTAAAAACATATTATGTTACACCTAATTTAGTCTGTTGAAATGCATGTGAGTAAACATATACTCCATGGGGTAAACGCATAATAAAATATTAATAATATAAAATAAAAAAATATAAAATTAAACCCTCAATATGTTTGCATACCTAATGTTTGGCCGGACACAGTGAAACTACACTTATATTAATATTTATTTACATATTTATATGTAGTCAGTTATCACTTTTAGTTATCACTTAAACGTAATGCAATTGTTTACTGTTTACGGAAAGTGCTTTGCGAAAGAAGAAATCTTAGCTTATATTATTACGTGTTGTTTTTTAACTATTACAGTGGTTACACACGGCCGACTTTTAACAGCGATGCAAACGCGCGTTTCATCGCTACTGTTGCGATTTATAGGCGATTGCAACGATACAAACACGCGTTTGCATCGCTGCTAAAAGTCGTCGTGCGTAACCGTTCTTATATAAACTATTTACTAGGCTACCTAAGAATCATTGAATCTGTTCAGTTAAATCTTCCTTTATTTTTTCTCCATTTTCTAATTTTAAATCTGAGAGGACGAAAAAAATAAAGGAAGTTTAAATCAGTCATCTGACGTGATCCTTTGACATGACGGTCGTTGGTAGGGTTGCCATGTGAAAATAAGCAGTGAAGTTGACGGTCAATACTTATAAACGAGCGCGCTAGGACCAGAGGAGCTTTTGGTGTAAGTTGTTTGGAAAGTGAAGACGTAAGTGCGGCAACGCTCTCTGTGAACTTATCGGGTGCCATTTAAAATCCGTTAATCTGATCCACCTTTTGTCTTTCGAACTAGTTACTGTAAAAGGTGAATAAATGAATTAATTGCAATCAACTGACGTTATTATTTCACCGCCAGCTGAACGAATTGATAACGAAGTTTTTGTAGTATTATCGGCCAATTATCAAGTAATTCCTGACTAAATCAGCGACGATAGTGTTTCCCTCAACGTCACCCTTACGGCCTTACTCCGAAATATATATTTTTAAAGTGTTTTTTAATAAAAAACCACCATGGGACTCAGACATATTAACTAAAATAACGGACAACTCACGTATGTAAGTCGTGTTTTGCTCGACGTGTTTCAAACCAATTCGTGGTCCTTAGTCATGAGATTCCGTGGCAGTGTCTCGACGGAAAGGTTTTTAAAGTACTCCACGAGTTTGTCGTTATAATTGCAACGGCAAAAAGCCGTTAAAACCACAAAAAAAGATCTGCAGCAAGCACACAGAGAAATTCGTAAGGCTTGCTAGCTCGTCCCGTAGTTCAGTTGGGAGGTTTGAGTCCAGTCGGATAGAGAGAAATTTCCTTTGAGTTTGTTCGATTTTTTAAATATTAGTTATAGCAATATACTCATGTTCTTACAATTCAACATCTATACAAACAAAGCAAATTACTTATGTATTGAAATTACTTAAGTTTTCCATAAATTTGTAGCTGAAAAGGCACTTTTATTACACCACGTTTAAAATATTCAAACTTTAAAAATAAACCTTCAAAAAGCTTGCACAGGATGCACATTGGCACTAGAGGTTAAGCATGAACGCAAGTCACCTTATGGCTATGCACTTAACGTAAATATATGAAAAAGTCACATCTCAATTACGCCAAGTCCCGCTTCCGTTTCATGCATATCATGATTATGGTAAACACGGTTTGCGGTCTTCAAAATTACAAGCGGGTCGCGCGATTAAAATTTCAGCTGAACTCGAAATGCGCTCATCCACCTTAATAGTATTACCTACAAGGAAAAAAGTAGGACCGTGTCGTACTTGGTAACGTTCTTCTAGCACAAGTTTATACAATTTAAAACGGTATATCTTCAATAGAGACAGTAATATACTAGTACTTTTTTTTTTCAACTTGGCCGCACATACTTTCCTTCAATAACTTTCCTTTCTCTAAAAGATCCAAAGTACAAATGCGAGAACAAGGTTGTGCGATTCGCAACAACAGAAAATACCATCGAATTTAAAATGCTCATCACATTTGGTTAAAGGAAATAACGAAACGGAACAATGTCGAATTTCCGAAATAACACTAGGTAGCTGGGTAGCGAGATGAAGCAAATATGCCTTGTGTAACCTTCAAGGATTTTTTAACTGACTACGGCGAAAACAATATTATAATGTATTAAAATACACATTTTATAACGTGTAAACAATAAATGCAAATAATAGATATATATTGGGGTGTACCACAATTAGCTATTACATCTATCTATAGAACAAACCTGAGTGTGGGGGTCGCAGTACTGTAACACAGGGTATCCTAGTACAGACTGTCGCTCGTTACTGGTGGGCCCGAGATGGCGCCTCTCAAAACGGCTGACGTGGAGGTAACCTGTATCCCCGGAAAGTGAAATGGGGTTCGGCGTCTAGTCGAATCATTCACCGTCGGAGTCGGAAGAATGCGAATGCGCACCCGTGACTTCGGCATTTGACGAGGAGACGGAAAACCGTCATGTTTTAGTCGGTAACAGTCCGACATAACCCTTCGCTTCCCCCGGGCGGAGGATATCCATGATTTCCTGACGTAAAAAAGAGGTATCCTAATACAGGTTTCTCACTCTCACAATGGCCTAACACATTGTACGTAAATTCATATAGACCTATCTTAAGATCAGTGCCATTGTGATTGAAAATAAATGATTATTATTTTTCATCATCACGTTTTCTTTTTTATCAACAGTGTTTTCTTTTTTTATTTCAATTACAGTAACCGAAAAAAAATCTAAAGTTCTAGGCTCAACTGTTACAAAACGGTGCACCCCACAAGTCAAAATTTACCGAACAAGTAGATTACATAAATACATGATCAATCCATCAAATTGACACGCGTACATGTATCGACTTGATGACGGTACTGAGTTTAAACCAAAGTTCAAACTCAGTAAAGTTTCTAGCAAACAAAGGATCGTGAAATGTAGAGATGGCGATTTTAATGGGAACACCGCTGGAAGTACGGTTTTAGTAAAATTTAAACGTAAACAAAGTTTCGTTAATGCGAGTGTTGAACGACCGTGCCCAAATTGTGTAAAAGTCTGTCTACACGCGAATGTATTGATTTCTGATTTTCTGGTTTCTTGTTTATTTAAACTTGTCTACACAAACACAGCGGTTGACTATGACAGTCAGTACTATTGTCATTGTCGCATAAAACGTCATACTTTTCATTTATTGATCCATTGTTAAATATTAATTGAATTAATGCAAATATCGTTATAATGAAAATATAGACATACGACGGAATATCGTCCTATTCGGGATATCATCGATATTTCCGTCAACTTTATTGTGCGCACAGCAGAATGGAATTCCTTGCCTGTGTTGTGTTTCCGAGCACATACAACCCGGGTATCTTTAAGATGCGACTGAATAGCCTATTCAGCGAGACCTTTTGGGCGAGGTCGTTCCGTCGCCGTCGTCGTCGTCGACAAAGGCAGGGTCTACCCTACCTCTTCTCCAGGGCTAGGTCAAGAGTCCATTTACTTAAAAAATGAATTAAAAAAAATGTCTCCTTAGAACAAATTGACGTAAATTATAATTTTGACGGAAAAAATATTAACATGGTTCAGAATTTTATATTCTATGTTGCGATGAAGTCATATTCATTTCAAAATTTAATTTAAATTCAATATTAATTAACTAGTCAGAATCAACGATATCTTTGGTCAGCGTAGTAAGTAAGTCCATTAGTATTACAAAAAACAACATGAGGCCCAAGCTGATCTACGAGTATGTAACTGCTAAGTTAATGGAGCCTTTAAAAAAATTTAAGTGAAATCACATAATGTAGCTTAGCAAACAACACCGCTTAAGCAATTTCAAGTAATTTCATAGGAGCGTTAAAAACCTGCATATATTATTGTATAAAAGACTTTTTTACCTATTGTTAGTAATTGTAATAATGTAAATTTTAACCTATTACTAATAATAGGTATTTTTTTTATAAACACCTTTTATACAATAATATGTGCAGGTTTTTCACGCTCCGATAAAATTACTTGAAATTACTTAGATGGTGTTGTTTGCTAAGCGACGATTAGATGTTAGGGCCACTTATTTTCTATAATTGTTAAATAAATTATACAATGAATACTCTCTTTTCTTATTAGATCCAAATTGATCAATAGAATATGCTTGGCTTAATTTGCAAATTTTTAAATCGTGTTTTGTACAAATATGAACTAAAGTTAACCTGAGAAATATTTTATACATTTTATAAAGAGTAAAACCTACTCTCTCCAAATTCATTTGCAGTGCCCTACAGGGTCCATAATGCACTGCTAACTTAGCTTTAAGCTTTTTTTAAGCTTTTTTTCCATCCTATGTAACATTATTGCCAAGGCAATAACGAATTGAATTTTCCTACAAATGTTTTCATAATACGCTTCAAAAAAATCATGCGTACAAACAGTTACAATCTTGTTACTTTCACTTAGATGTATTTGTGTTATTGCTTACAAGCCGATTATAATAACACTGCACGTCACGTTATAAAAGTGGTTTTCGATTAGTATTTTGATGGCAAGTCAAAACCAGCACCCTTACCTACAGTTTAGCGTAGGTAAGGGTGCTGGTGAAATTACAGGCATACGAGACCTGTCAACTTATGTCTCAAAATGACGACTGCAGTGGCGGTGTCGCTCAAATCCTTGCTATTTAAAGCTCTGAGCAGTACTGCAAACTGCTATGGACTGACGGATCGCTTTTTTTATGATACAAAATGACGCGACAAACAAATCAATCGACACGTCTGTTCATAATAGTTGCAATAGCGCTCACAGCTTTAAATCGCAAAAATTTGAGGGGCACTGCCACTTGTTTGCCCTGTCACTTGCTATCACAAAAAAAAGTAAATTCGACTCACGGTCCGATCTTAATAAATAATCTTTGACTTCAGTCGATGCGAGTGAATTTTTTGTATATCGAATACCAAAATAATGCAGTGTTTTTCAAAAATCAGGTCGGTTATCTCACTTTTTAATTTTAATTTGAAAATTAAACATTAGTCGATCGTGTGATCGATTTGTTTTAACTTCCTACTATTGCAGGTTTATCGAGTGGTTCCAGGTTGATTTTGCGTTTTTGTAAATTCCGTAAACATTAGTTGAAAAAGTGTTTGTATTTGTTAAAGTTTTATTTAATCAATGTCAAACTTACAACTTTCAATTTTCGGCTTATTTGCTTTATCTCAAAATCTAACACAAATGCATTTTAATTTTGATTTTTTTTCAAAATGGTTGTAATAAGTCGATGTTTATAAAATGTTAATATAATTGCTGCTTTACGTCTAATTCTTATTTATTTAAATAGAAACTCAACTTTGTTTTTGTTTCGTTAAATCCTATTTAACGAAAAAATGGGTGTGTACATAACATTTGACGTGTTTTGGTTATTTTTGGTATCGTATATAAGTACATAAACACTCGTAAACTAAAGATTTTCGTTGCCCGACAACACAAACATTGATTTGAGAATCAATACTAGACAGTTGTCATTTCAAGGTCAACAAATCTGTCGGGCTTTTTATAAAAGTATGTCTGTAGTTGACTGACCTGCGCAGGACTCTTGACATAATACTCGGTGTCGTTGATGATGAGTCTAAAGTCGTTCTCGAGCAGCGATTCAATAGTGTCGCTCGCAGCGATGCGCACACGCTCATCCGCCGCCAGTGCAGCCGCACGCTCCACGCCGCGGTCTTCCGCCTTGACCTATATATAATAATAATAATAATAATAATAAATAATAATAACGCACACACTCAACATAGCCCCGCACTAGGGAAACCCTGTGTCGCGGGTGTTATAGACACACACATAGACAACCACAAATTACACCCAAACTCACGAGAGAAATAAATGTAGGCCATATAAATTTTTCTCTCGGCCCGGGAATCGAACCTGGGACCTCTGTGTGGCAGTCCGGCATGGTAACCGTTCGGCCACGGAGGCAGTCAAAACCTATAAATTACACAAGTTTTAAAAAAACATTATCATCAATATTTCTAAGTTTCCTTTTAGTCGATATCTTTAGCAAATAGGTGCTTTCCAGAGTCGTTCACTAACGAATAATTAGGTAAGCCGATTAAGAGGTATACAGCACACAACTGATGCTACGAAAGACATTTTTGTACAAGTTGAAGAATATGCTTTCATTATTTTCATTATTATCATAATAATTAATAAAAATTACAAAGAATATCTTAATAAAAGAATCAATGCAAACAAATTGTATCCAAATATAAATTTATATTTTTGTTTTTTTAAAAATTAATTCTTTTCCAGCTAATCGCCCTTGAAATATATATATACATATATATAACATTGTATAATTTCTTTTTTGACAACAATCATCAACTGTAACACTCATTTCACACTCATTCAATAACAATTATAATCTATAAACTTCAGTTTATATAACGCAAACAAACTCGCTTCTTTTTTTCGCTGATTTTTCATATACGAAGTATTCCTTCTTTAAATATAAAATTGATCTACGAGTATACGCCTTGCACGATTTATCTTGACTAAAATCAAGAAATAACGAGACTTTTTGACTTTGACGTTTTAATAAAAACACAATTTCTAATATCAGTACATTATTTTGAGATTTGTTACAGTGGGTGAGGACTGCTCTCCCTTTTTTTTTTTTTTTTTTTTTTTTGACGGGGGGAAATCTTTATGGATACCCCTGAGCCCAGGGAGACTCAGGGGTTATGTGGGGACTCTCCCTCCACACTGGAAGGCCTACCCCACTAAAACCCCCCCGGGTTTCCCTCTCGCCGGTTGAGTCGGCGCCGTGGGATCAGGACTGCTCTCCCTAGCGCTTCCGATATCGGACTGACAAGTACCAAGAGTCGGATTTAACCTTAATATTTATTTAAAAATTCTATACCTCGTAAAAGATATCTTAATTGATAATATATAAAACGATTGTTGTTATAAGCTTTATACAAAATGTACTTATAAAATGTGAATATTATAACATATGTGATAATTATACAAAATTAAGTTATAGAAGTGTATTTAGTGTAAGTAAAAATTCTATTAAATGAGCATGTTCTAACTAAACCTACTGAATAAGAGCCGCAACTAAGATTTCACCTGTGTGAAATTCGTTTGTACAAAACAAACTGATTTCACACTAAACCACCATCAATTAAACCACCAAGGCATCCAGAGTCCAAGAATAATAATTTTGTCGAAATGAAAATTATGCATTGTAAACTATGTTAAGGATAACTATATTAAAAACAACTCTTCCTCCGCATCTCCGGCTTTTAAATTACTCTCTTAGTATCGAAAAACACCAAGGCGAGTCGGGTTTAAACCTATTATTTATAAAAAGTGATATTATGCCACATAAAAATGATCTAAATTGACAATATATTAAATTATTGTTATATAATATGACCTTTATATATTTTTGTTTTTATAAAACGTGAATGTTATATGAAACAAGTATTATATGAAGTAAAATTATAGGAAGTGAAATTGGTCCAAATAAAATTATATTAAATGAACGGTATGTGTTTCGAAATTATTTAATTTTTGTATAAATGAGGCGCACCCAGTTGAAAGTTATATAAGCAAAACATACAATAATGTCGTTGATATTATTTCTTTTGATGCCTAGATATATAATAATAATAATAACAAATTTCTAAAGCAAACCTGACGCGAACCGTGTCATACCGACACGTCGCCACTGTGGCCTACAGCATGTCATGGTCAAAATAAGGAGATGATAGCACCAATGGACACAGTGACAATTTATCCCTAAGTCCCTTTCTTCGAAATTCACCCAGATCTTGTGGGATATTTGTCAATGTCACGTTGAATCAAACTAAAAACTCACTTGCTCTAATAGGTCGCCTACAGTTTGAGAGACGGGCCGCAGAGTGAAGCGACATCGTTCGCGGCGGGACGGCAACGGCACTGTTATCACCGGCAAACCTCGCCGGTACGTCACCGTCACATCTGAAAACAAAGAGAAAACTGGAATATAATTTTCTTTTCAAACCTTGTAGTTCCGTTGGTAGGCACCCTGTAAAAGTACGCCGCAGTAAATGTCCTGAACATACTGGACGTGAGCAAATGCGTAACGATGATAGATGCAACATTAAAAACACGAAACGGTATTTAAATTAGCCTTTGTTAAGGTCTAAAATGTCCCATCTACATACATTACTTAGTACGAATTTATGAATATTAAATTGATTTGTTTATATCCTACCATCACGCATTGAGACTGCAATTTAATGAAATTTGCAGCAGTAGAGCTTCCTTGTGTAAGCGTTCGTCCAGTGAAGTACTGCCACCTTACCTATTTCCGCCACCAAGCAGTTATGTGAGCATCATTGCGGTCCGGTTTAGCAGGGTAAAGGTGCTGGTAAAATTACAGGCACATGGGACTTGTCAACTTATGTCTCGGTGACGGGCGCAGTGGTGGTGCCCATAAGATCTTTGCTATTTAAAGCTCTGAATGGCGCTGCAACTGTTATGGATAGGCGTATTACCACCAGGCGCACGACTTGTTCGTCCCGCTACTTGGTATCATAAAAAAAATACTAACCAGTGGATCTGTTATTTGCAGATGCAAAAATTATGCAGTAATACATAATTTTTGCATTGCAACACATCTTGTTCAAGTCGTCAATAAATAAAGTCTATATTTCATTGAATATCGCATATTATAGTACATAAATCACTATTAATATTCTTCGTGAGTAAACAAGACAAAACACATGTTATGGGCAATGAAACAACGTATGTGCGGCGAGCTACTCGAAATTGTTTCATTACGGACGCAGCCCGATTGTCGATGCGCTCCACTTAACTAAGTACGCTCGCTAACAACTGCACGGTTTAGTACACTTCCCCTGAAAGTTTAAAGTTTGAAACAAACATACTATGTATATACCTCTCTCAAATTGTTAAATCTTGCAGTGCCCTAACTGGGTCCACATGATCACGTGTATATTAAGAAATATCTTTATAACATATGGTGTCAATGAATAAATGAATGTGAATATGAACACTAAAGTAATGAATCGTTGAAACTATTTTGTAATAAAATAATTTAGTTGTGGGGCAGTAACTAATATATACGCAGCCGACAAGACGATAAAAACGTCGCGTTCGTAAATCACACAAATTATACAGCCTTTGTTGTAAAAAAATAAACAGGAGTTTTTCAAAGCATCCTCCAGTACGGTAAAAAAGAACGAAAATTAAGAATAAAAATTAGTAAATAAGGGAAGTAATAGCTTGTTACAAACAACCAGACATCTGACTGTAAAAACATTTAAAGGATTGGTAAGTCAAAGTTTAAATGTGACAAAAAGTCATTTCGTCAGAAATATTGAACGGAGTAAATGAATACTAGATAAAAAAAATTAACTATCAAAAATAAAAAAAACAAAGATTTTATTTTGTCAAAAAGTACTTTTCCACGGCCAGAAAACAGCATCAACCTCCAAAATGAGTGAGTGAGTGCGATAGTGATTAAGAATTTTGCAAAGTGTTTTTAACGTTTCTGTCTGTAATCAGACTAAATATTCAACTAATTTTGTTCACGGCTTCGTTTGCACAGTAAAGAAACACCAAGACTGGCCAATGCTATATAAAGTATAACGCTTCTGAGCTTCTTCTTTCGCAGATTTGCAAGCATTTATACCGTTCAGTGGTTGTAGCTTGGTCGAGCCATGTTACTACTATAAGCGTTGCAAAAAGCATTTAAACAATTGAATTGTAAGTAACCGCCAGATACATCGTAAAAGATAATACGTGTTGTGATGAAACCCAAATACCAAGTTAAAGATAAAAATTTACGAAATAATTGAATATTAATGGCATTTTCTGTTAAAGATTTCCAGCCAACAGACAACTGTCTGTCGGTGCACCACCGTGCAAAGTCTATCGTCGAACTCAATATTACGTATTGTAAAGTATTGATATGGCGTAACAATTGTGACTACGACTGTACAAAATAGTTTGATAAACTTTCAAGTAAACTAATCGCTTGGTAGAAAGAGATGCACCGAAAGTGTTTTAATTCATGAGCTGAGAGCGACATAGGTACTGTTAGACGATGAACTGTAATATTTTTAATGGGTGTCTACATAATCAACGTGCCCTCGTATTTACCCTTGTATAACATAGGATTCAACGTGGGTGTCTTCTCACTACATATAGCAAAGTTGACCTATATAAGGCGTTTCGAAAAAGGCGAATTTCAATGGTTTGATTTTCCCTGTGATTTCAACAACTCTCAGAAAATAGCACGAGTATTTAGACTTCTGAAATTTGATATTTTTTGGATTAAATTCGAACAAACAACTCGTGTAAGTTGGTATAGGAAATTGTCGTTTACGTTATCGTTCGCTACCGCTTATGTTTACCGGGCGCATTGTGTATTCGTACGCACAAGTACGCAGCGCGGGCGCACATGTACTGTCGCTGTAATTGCCCTGTCACTTTCCTAATTATCATCGCTCTGTGTACAACGTTTCTCCACTCTTTGATTTATAGATATCACTTTTGCATGCAATGTTACTTTTTTAATAGTTAACTTTTTGAGATTGATCGCGATTGTCTTGTATTTTGAAAAAGTAAGAGTCAATTTGCATATATGAATACCATTAGAAAGGTTGCTCTATTCATTACTTGACGAACTGTAGATAATGTGGTACCATTTAATTTGAAGTAATGATTTTTATTTCTAAATCAATATGTACTTAACACAAGGACCGACATATTATTAATTTGTTTGAATCGACAGGTATAGCCTTGTAGTGGATTTTTATCATGAAATACATTCTCCACGATGATTATAGAGTCGGCAGATTTAAACATATAAGTAAAAGAAAATAAACAAAGTTTGTTGCTCGTGATGTTTACAAGTCGGAAGATGTGAAGAGAATGATATGGTTAAAAAAGAAGCCATTGTAATTTAGTTGAAACGAATGAATTTGATTTCCATGCTTTATTTAGTCTGTCGATGTATTGATATGTTTTTTAATTTGAATTTGATATAAATTGATTAATGTTGGTTTTTGAATTAAAATATTTATAACTTTTTGGCTTATTAAAACTTAAGAGATATTAACGGCCGCACCACGAGTTATGCTATACTTTAAATCTACTTTTTTTAATGGCGACGTGTGTCGGATATGAAACGAAACTACCCAACGTGCATAACGTACACGATTTAGTATATACATATACAATGACCGAGTGATGGTACACCTGTGTATAGCATTAACCACTTACTACATTTATGCTTTATACTGTATTATTTTTTCATTTTTATTCATATACCTAATTCAATATTTTTGTGCAGCTGTACAAAATTAAATTAATCCATATATAATACACTTATTTTTATTATATTATTTATGAATTACTAAAACACAGTGATAGTGAGTAAAGGCAGCAAAACAGTTATTATATACAATTTGCGTATACGCACCGAGCTACTAACTGACTAACTCTGTGAATAAGAGCCCTTTTCATAAAAATAAATGCATATCAGACGTTTTCTTGCGCGTACCACATTTAAATTTAACATTCTTTTGTAAAGATTTGTTCACCGTAAGGTTTATTTTACCTATCTGAATCAAACAAGGGCGTGACTAGCAAGAACTTTTGCAGTAAAACTCCTTGTGAAAGAGTTCGTCCAGGGAAGTACTGCCACCTTCCCTATTTCTGCCGCCAAGCAGTAATGTCTGCATTATTGCGTTCCGGTTTTGAAGGGCAAGGGTACTGGTGAAATTACACGCACATGGGACTTGTCAACTTATGTCTCATGGTGACGGGCGCAGCCGGGTGCCCGTCAGATATTTACGATTTAAAGCTCTGAGTGCAACTGTCATTATGGACAATCAAACTCATAATTATATTATGATAAAGCAGAGACCCTGAAGTTAATATTATAGAGAATTCCTAACTTCGCTTAAGCTTGTATAAGAATTATAAGAGTATACTAGGACAATTTTCTAATTATGTTGTCTTATTCATAGCTAAAATAACAAAGGAACGCGGCCGATCTCGTTATACGTATCATTTAAATGTACATGCACAAAAGGATGCCGTGTTCTGTTGAAATTAACTTTCGGTTGTCTCTATATAAGGTAACTGAATTTATACAATTGCACTATATGTGTTGTGTTTTATAAAATGGTAGGGATACAACGTAATTGTCTTTATAAGTAACAGAAAACATTTTGGTGGAACCCTAGTTAGGTAGTGAACAATTTTGGGTCACAAGTTGGCGAACTTGGGCTTTTAATAATGCGCCACTTTTGTTCATCAAACATCCGTTTTCACTTCTCATGCTTGTGAACTTAGTTATAGTTAATAAGCAGACTAAAGTAATGGTTTTTGATTATAAGGACTAAAGTACCTTAATTTTTTTAAACTATAATAAACTAATATAAAATTTCAATTTTTTTTTTATAATACCATGTTTTATTATGTGCTCTGAGTTTTTCATTTTCATTCCTCTTAAATAGGATGATGATGATGAAGAAAAAAGAAAATATATCGAGTTTTACGTTTTCGCGACTGCTACACATTGGAAAAGAAAATATTTTTTTTTACATAAATCAACTGACTGATGATGTTACCTTTTTTTTATCTCAGTCAGTCGTGACCACGGGACATGTAAAGGGTCTGAAACGTTGGTTTATTTGAAAAAAAAAAAACGAATATATGCGTTTAGTTCAGAAAAATAGTCTCAGTTCCAATACAAAATATCTCATTTAGGTTAGCTGTTTGATAATATGCTTTGTGTTCTATATACAAATTAACGAAAACACTCAATGGCACAAAAGTAGTTTTTTGCTAGGTTAATTTGACTTATTCGAATAATGCAAAGCAATAAATAATGATACTGATATATATGATGATATATTTGAAAAAAAAAAAAATAAAGTTTACGTCTTCTTCTCGTCTCTTCTCTTACGTCTATCTCAATT